TTTGGGTCCAATGTGGTAACCACCCTATGATCAAAGAAGAATGATGAACGCCAATTACTTATGTGCATGAGTATGTAAAAATGACTAATTTTATTTCTAAATCTTTTTCATTTTTTATGGAAATTAACAGTAAGTTTTACATTTGACGCTCAGGTTACGAACTATTACATGAAATATTTGAGTCCATGCTTCAAGATTTACAAGGAGAAAATGAGGAAGGATACAATTACATCAGTCTCATCAAAAAATAAATGTGGACAAATGCATATAGTGGTGGATATCGATATGGACATGACGACCAACTTGATTGTGGCTATCAATTCGACCTTAAAGAGGGCACGCCGCCATTTACCAGAAACAACTTTGGTTAAAACGAAGTATTTTCGTTTGGGAATGTTTTTTGCCAAGCTCAAACTTTGATGCAAAACGGTTATGTCTATCACCCAAGATAAGTTGCAGATCTACAAAAAAGAATTGTTGTATCAAATGGAATGTCTGTAACAATCTTATCTAGAACCCATGAATTACTTCGTGTCACATAGATGACGAGATCTCTTCAAGGGATTTAAGCTAACTCGTTCAGAGTTAATCTACAAGACAGGTGGTGACTGTAGGTTTTTTCAAGCTCTGAAGTATCCATGCTCCCATGTTATAACAGCTTGCTCTTAGACTCGTCAAGACTATAATCATTTTGTGGATCCCGTACACTAACTTTCAGAAGTATTTAAGGTATATGAATTTGAGTTCCCCCATAGGTAATGAGAAAGACCCTGATAAGGTTCAGAATTGGCTTCCGATTGTACCATATTTGTCCTTAAGGGAGCTCAGTCATCCAAAATCTATTCGAATTCATTGTGATATGGATATTTGGGATACGTACAGAGAAAACAAAAGATGTGGGCATTGTAGAAATCTAGGACACAAAAGGAAAAAATGTTCATCTCTTTTGTCAACAAGTAACTGTTGATGTTGTGAGGATGTAATAGTTGTTTATGAAATCTAAGTTTGTGTTATTTAATTTTCACTTTTTCAATTAATGTCATTTAAGCATCACCAAGTAATGGGCTACTCAATTGAAAATTAAATAAAAATATTACAAACTAAATACAAGAAAACGATACAATTCAAACAATAAAAACAACTAAATAGAAACATTAAATGCCGACGATACAATTCTAACAATTAAATAATAAAAATTAATAAAAAAATAAATAAAAATTCCATAATTAAAACTTTACAATTACTGGTAAACAAACAAAATTAAATAAAAGCATTAAAACTAAACAACTCTATCGATGTATGCTCTTAAATGTGTTCCGCAGGGCGGTGGCTGTCTGTGTCGATGAGGATTTCTTCATAAAATTGTTCTTCCTTCTCACTCTCATCATCATCATCAAGCTACATTTTGTTGATGAGGGACGAATGACGATGTAGCACCTTTATAGAATAATTAAATAAGGACCCTGGAGGTGTATGACTGACTATCACCGTTCATAGAAATTGTGAAAACTACGAACACCAACATCGATGAGTGCGAAAACTGTGCCAGAGGTGTCTGTGCATGTGATCCACCTATACCAGCCAAATAAGCAATATGAACCCCACGTTGGATCTACATAGAAGTATAATATCTGCCATGAGGGTCATACAACCTGCGACGGTGGCATCTGACCGGCTGTGGTGGTATCTGATATACTTATGGTGGCATCTGATATGGAACGTGGCGTTTGACTCGGCTGTGGTGATATCTGAAATAGCTATGGTGTCATCTGATGTAGCTACGGTGCCATCTGAAATGTCTGCAGAATATATACCAGTGTAGACGGTAGTTGTTGTGATGGTTCTGGTACTGCATCTGAGGATGAGCTGGAAGCGCCTGTTCTCCTCCCACGAGTCATGGGATGATGATGATGTGACGGTGGACGTCTTTGTCGGTGCCGATGAATGCTCCCCCCTCGTGCTTCCTCAGAAAGTAGGAACAATTTCTCTTCGTGTTGAACCACTCATAATAATCATCTGCAACCGAATAATGATCCACATAAATGGGTTTCGTACGGATAATGCATCCACGTCGATCCTCCCATCATTACCCACTCGATGTGCTTCAACAGCCAGTCGACTTCTTTTTGCCCCGTCTATCGATGATATGTATATCGTCGAGATTCTTAGGTGCTTCTGTAATAGATTGTACAAAACCAAATTGGAGGAGCACGCGATCAATAGGATGCCACTTGACAATAACATAACATATCAAAGGGACCACCGCCATTCAGATATGTATTAGGTATCTCAAGTGATGTGGAATACGCATCCTCATTTCTTCAGTAGAATAAGGAGCACATTGAACTGAAACAAATATATTTCTTATAAAAATAATATTTTAATTATATAAATATAATTAAAAGTAAATAATAAAATTTAAATACATACCTTTGTACCAGCCTTCTGATCTATGAGTAGCCGAATTTCTTCCAATTCATTCGATAAATCCCGATTATCTTTTCTTGCATTTGACCACTTATTCAATGAAAAAAAATAATCATTTACTCAACAAAATTATTTATATAAGAATTCAGTATTGAAATTACCTCAACAATAGCGAGAAGACCAACGAGTTTTTCACGACCGGACATAAAAAGGGCATGCGATACCACGCCCAAGACTAGAGAAGAATGAGACATCTGGCGATAGCATTTTTCGATAATCAATTTCTTGACACATTTCCCTATACAAAAATGTCAAAACTACAGAGCCCTAACTTAGTATGCCGACAACACAAAAATTTGTGAGGTGATATAATCACACACAATGAACTTGGTTACGCGATTTGTCAGACATCAGGATCCCTCCTATGAGTTGTAATATGCAAGTCCGTGCATACATTTTAACATCTTCATTGGAGGAGTCGCGACTAAAATGTTTAAAAGTTGTATCCAACCAATTTAACGGTATTCGACCACCGTTGAAATTAGGCGGGACACCTCCAAGATACTCCTCGCACAAGGAATGCCAGTCACCATCCGCCACCCCAGAAATCCATATCTTCATCTACCGGAAGCCCCAAATGTATGAAAATATCCTCCAGCGTAATCGTGCACTCTCCACACGGAAGATGGAATGTGTGTGTCTCTGATATCCACCTCTCAACCAATGTAGAAATAAGGTTGGATTGAAGGTTACAGTGCCCTTCGTATTTGGCTACATAACCGAATCCAACATCGGCTTAATACAGTCAAACACGAGTAGCGAAACGAACTTCTCACCGAATGATTCACGAATAATTCATTGAATATTCAATTCGTTGCATACCTAAACTCGCTCTTATAATAAATTTCTATAAAACCTATTAATTAAAAGGAATACAAAGAGGTGATATACATACTTTTTATGTGGATTTGTTTAATGAGTTTTTATTGTGGTTTAAAGAAAACATAAAATAAATAATAGTATCCAAGGCGTGTTCGATGGGTGCGGTATCGGTCAGTGTTTATGAGCCCAATTGAATGCTATCGCACGCCATTATGAGGTTTCAATTTTGCCCTACCAAACTGCATTTACTTTTAATAATAATAAATCAAAAAATCACACCATTGACTGACTATAAACAGCACATTCATAGGTAGAGTTTAAAAATACAACGTTGACCAACAATACAACAACCAATTGGGTTTTGCTTCAAATCATGCATAAATTATATTAAAAAAAACAATCCACCGAACTTAAATTAAATTTTGGCAGATAACTAATTCGGGTAATTCAATCTTTGTATGTTTAACTGATCAAACATAATATTTAAATGGATTAATTAACTTATAAATTTTAATATTATACTTTTGCATAACGGGTTAAAGGAAAAGGCATTTTACCAATTTGCTGGACTTGAGGCCCAGAATGGTAAGAGCCTTTTGGTCTTTGGATTAAGTTCTAGAATGGGATTTGTCTGAGTCCTACGATCCAATCATTTCTATATAAAAAAGGATAAACTACACATTTAACACATAAACTATCAGTTTTAGTTCATTTTAGATCTATACTTTCAGTTTTTTTAAAATCATACCTAACGTTTAGTTTTTATGTCATTTTAGTACCCACCATTTAAGGCATTCAATACATAAACTATTAGTTTTGACCCGTTTTAGTACCTAAACTTTCATTTGTTTTAAAAAATTAACGTTAAATTTTGAATATGATACTAAAATGAAACAAAACTAAATTTATGTAAGAACAATAATATATTGATAATACAATATTATTCCATTCGAATTAATTAACCAATAAATTGGATATTAATATCTTATCTTCCATACTTCTATTGGACTTATACTGTTTGGCCTCGAACCTGCATCTGAAAAGCAAATGATCAAATTCGACAAAACCGTGCCATCCCCTACAATTTCCAAGAGATGATTCCACCTTATATCCAAATAGTATCTAAACCGACCAATGATTCAACTCACAACTCACATGTCTGATACGGTCTGTCACAGTACTCAAAAGGAGGCTTCTCTTCAAGGTCCCAACTTACATGTCTGAAGTATATCAGACAAATCAGTTGGAAAGAATTTTTCTCAGCTTCCAAACAGTTCGAAAAAAGGAGAAACGAAAAGGAAAAAAGAGCTGGCAAAGACTAAGTGCACGGTATACTGACACAAGTACAGGCTGCAAAGTATACAAATGAAATGATTGAAAACTAGTACTATATAGTAGGGAAAATAAATTGGTATTTCTCTTGTTGGGAGAGATGGCAAAGCTGGTTTCGTTTGTCTCGTGATTGTTTTCGTGGATTTTGCTGCTGGTTTTCTCCGCATCCAACCACTATTACCAAAGACAAGGTACATTCTTTGATATCTGATTCAACACAGATTACACTTGACAAATCAAGGGTTTTTTTAACTTTATGTTTAAACAGGTGCATGAATGTGAAGAGATCTGAGTGTCAACACCCCAAAACTAAGCATTCAAGCTCGGGTTGATTGCAGCTGTTCTACTAGCTTTGTCCCATGTTTCTGCAAATTTGCTTGGTGCCTGCATGTGCTTCTGTTGCACTGAAAAGCTTGAAAATTACTTCTAATAGGAAGTTCTGGTTCGGGTGTCTCGTTCTTTCTCGGTATGTGTTTTCCAAAACTCCATTTTTGTTCGAAATTTTCGTTTTTTTTTAACTTTATGTGAAACTCATTGGCTTAACATATTATCAGGATCGTAGTGGCAGTTGGATTTCCAGCGCTGGTGATGGGAATGCTGGAGATTCCCAAATCAAAAGGTTCATGCCACCAGGTTCTGCATCACCATTTGCTACTTGTTGGAGGAATATTGTGCTTTGTTCATGCAATTTTAACTGTTGGATTCTACGTTTCTGCAAATGTAAGCTTCGAAAAGGATGTCGCCGTAGGGTAGCATGCCCTTAAATAAAGACTGTATCGGTAGATATGTATTATGTTTGATTAAATTGGATACTATTGATTTATGTTGTGTTTCTTGTTGTCATTTGGCAACTTTGAACCCTAACTTAACATTATGGTTTCCACTCGGGGAAAAACTTTTCACCAAATTTGTCATTTCAACAAAAGAACAGAGATTTTAATGGCAGTTTTCGTCAAAGAGACATGAAGGGACATTGCTGTCATGTTTGACATGTTTAAGTACTATTACTATCATGTGCTTAATATGCAAATCGTACTTAAATTCTATTTTGGATATATTTATTTAATGTCACGAGTTTAAAGTTTTCAAGAGTGGGGACAAATTGGGAAGAAGTCCTCCCACGATCAAGGTAACTTCGTCATTGGGGACCCAAGTATAAAATCCGTGTACTTGTTACTCGAAATGATTATGAAAACTCCCCTTACATTTAGAGATCAGGATGTATTCCCCCATGATTCAATAAGTCACATGTGTGACATGGATTGTCAAAGGATTTTAAAAGCAAAGTCCCCCCCCAAGGTCCCTACCCTAACCAATCAGCCAAGGAAGCCCCAGAGAAATTTACATTTTCATGCAAAGAAGGAAAAAAATAGGGTTTGTCATGAAAATGTACTTTACCCATTTTATGAAAGAGACCATGAAGGCTTCTGTTTCTCTACTAGTATTTCCTTGTTAAAATACCATCCGTTCCATGCCGCCGTTGCCTTTTGGTTAATTTGAGGAACGTTTGTGGGAGAAAGAAATGGAAAAGGCTGGTGTTTTCGTTTGTCTCATGATTGTTCTCGTAGATTTTGCTGCTGGTTTTCTCGTCATCCAAGTACATGTAAAGAGATTAGAGTGTCGACAGCCAAATGATGAAGCTTTCAAGCTCGGGCAGATTGCAGCTGTTCTACTAGCTTTATCCCATGTTTCTGCAAATTTACTCGGTGGCTGCATGTGCATCTGTTGCACTGAGACTCTTGAGAATAAATCATCTGGTAAAAGGAAATTCTGGTTCGGGTGCCTCGTTCTTTCTTGGTACGTGTCTTCTAAAACTCTTTTTTTTTAAAGATTCTTCCATTGAAATGTATGAGACAAAACTGAATCGAAATGGTTTCTGAATTCATTAGGCTTGTAGTGGCGGTTGGATTTCCAGCGCTGGTGATGGGAATGCTGGAGATTTCGAAATCAAAAGGGTTGTGCCAGCAGGTTTTTCATCGCCATTTTCTACTTGTTGGAGGAATATTGTGCTTTGTTCATGGGATTTTAAGTGTTGGATGCTGTGTTTCTGCAATTTTAAGCTTTGAAAAGGATGGAGATCCTTAAAATAAATAATGTATTTATCCATACCATGTAATAAACACCGTTATATTAGCACGTGATAATGTTAAAATTAACTTCTAACATTTGTTCGAATAATCATTTTGATACCTATTATTCTTTTAATATTTTAATTTTTCAACAAAATAATTTCCTTATATAAAAATTGTTAGTAGAGTAGTGAATAATATATATTATTAATGTGATATTTTTACATATGTTAAATTATTGACGTGTTACATGTCACACTCAATATTATAGTATGACACGTGTAATGTCACCCAATGTAATAATATGACATGTGTCACGTTAATAATTAAACACGTGTGAAAATATTATATCAATAACATGTGTTGATATTTGATCAATTAATGATTTCCATCAAATAGAATCATTTCGATCAAAAATTAAAATGTTAAGGGTTCAAGTGCTAAAAAATAATATAAACCAAAATACTCATTTACATGATCGAGCTAATTTTGATATTATACTTATTTTTGTAATTATTTTAGATTAGGTTGAGACGATCTTATATTAAAACTAACTCTGTTTCAACTCGTTTATTTCATACAATTAAGATAAACTCGAATTCAAAAAATCCCAAATATATGGAATTTAACTTAGTTGATTATATCTATTTGAAAAATTACTCTTTTTATTTAAAGACAAATTGACGTTTCAATAACAATAACAATGTGAGTTCAAATAATATTTGAAACTAAATCAAACTAAATCTTTACATAAAAAAATGGCTGTCCCTTCTTCCCATATGTATGGGGTAACGAGGTGGTAAGATAGTAGGCTACCCCCAACACCAGGTTGAGAGCAGCTTCCGTAAGAGACCTCCGAATTATGAAACACCAGGTTTTGTTTTCTCCCACTGAAATTTCAAAAATAATAAATTCATTAACGTTATCAATTTGTAACAAAATGATCAGTCCAATGTAATTTCCGTTAAATTGATATCGCGACAGTGTTAATAAAAATGTTAATATTTAGTTTAACCCCTAAACTACAACTAAAACATCAAATAGGTCATTAAACAATGATTTTTTATATAGTTTACCAAAAATTATTTAATTTCCATTGTTTTAAACATCCCACCACCTCCATTATATTCACGTGAACCACCCTTCACGCAGCACGTGTTGCACGACGGAACAAGCAAGCAGGAGAACGCCTTATCAGTTTCAAGTATTTTAATCAGCAATCTAAAAGAAATGCTACTTTCATGGTTTCAAGTAAGCCAAAAGAAAAACTACTTTGTTGGTTTTAAGCTAAGCTCAACTTCAGCTTTCATCTTTTGAACCAATGGAATATCTATGGCCTGCAGCATCTTAAAAAATAACAACCTCACTGCAACACTGTTATTCTTAAAAAAACAACGTAAATTTTTACTAATTAGGACGAAATGTACCCAAAGAAGTAATTAGCTCCATTATAATTGAATATGGCATTTAGCTAGGTGCAAGAGGGTTAAAAATTATTATTATCATCTTTACAAAATATAATAGAATATTAGAATAGCCATATATATTGTTGTGCTCATGTTTCTGTTTAACATATAGAAATACATAAAATCATCATTAAAATGATACGTTCTTGGAAGAGAGGAATCTTCTCACCTTAGGTGAGTTTTCCTTGCTCGGAAGTGCATCGATGTCTAACTTCTTCACAGCTGCTTCCATCGTTGTTGGTGCTGCGTGAATGGTGGTTATTAGGAATAAAATGAAAATTAGAATGTTTTCGAGACAAATTAGATATAAAATCGTTATTTGAGGACATATTTGTCATTTTAACAATAGTTTAGGGGTAAAAATAAATATTAATCTTTTTATTAACGTTTTCACGTCATCAATTGAATGTAAATGACTTTAGGGTGACCATTTTATGACAAATCAATAACATTACTGATCAATTTATTAATTTTAAAACTTCAGTGTAGAACATGAAATATTAATCAAACATTAGTGACCATTTGTTGTAGTTTACCAATAACGTTTTTCATTCCAAAAATTCAAACCCTCATGAACGGTATCGAATGAAGAAATTAACAACAGTAGGGATCGAACCGTACAAGTATCCCAATAAAAGTTTCCCTCCTTAAATTTAACTAATCCGAAAGCCGAAAATAGTGGGGGAAGCGGCGTGCAGTTCAAATCTAAGCCGTCTATTTCATCACCATCTAACGGATAATATTATTGATCCGTGTCTTCTCTCTGCATTGGCTAGTTACTTCTCGGTCTCCAATATTTATACTCAAATCAATCAGCTATTCTCGCACTGATATCTGTCTTTCTTGCTCCTACATTACTTTCGGCGTTCATTTACATTATTGTTCGTGGCGAGTCTAAAAATGGCGGGTCGGGGTAAAACTCTCGGATCAGGAGCGTCGAAGAAGGCAACATCGAGGAGTAGTAAGGCCGGTCTTCAGTTCCCGGTCGGTCGTATCGCTCGGTTCCTTAAAGCTGGGAAATATGCTGAACGTGTCGGAGCTGGAGCTCCGGTCTACCTCGCCGCCGTTCTTGAATATCTTGCCGCTGAGGTTTAACACTTTCTTTTTCATTACTTTTTTATTTTGTTGAATTAGTGATGACAATCGGTTAAATTTTCAAAGGAAATTGTTTCTTCTGGCTTTATAACCTATTCCATGGTATCGATTTTTCCCATTATTATTGAGATTTATTTTTTCCAATTTCTCTTTTTATGGCATGGTTCATGGGTATTTTCAACTTCGTTTGTAGCCTAATCATGAGTATTTTCACCGATAATCTTCCATGTTCTTGGGATTTGGAAATTAGGGTTCGTTTCCCCTAAAAGTTTAGTATGATTTATATAATTTCTGTTTCCCCCCTAACAATTCGATATCTTAATTCCTAAAGTTACAAGAAATTGTCCTTCTCTCTAGGGAGACAACATTTTTAAACATTGCTTGAAAATTCGGTCAACTATACAAATCTGTTAATTTTAGTGGAAACCTTTTCTTTATAATTTCAGGTTCTTGAGCTCGCCGGCAACGCTGCCAGGGATAACAAGAAAACCCGAATAGTGCCTCGTCATATCCAGCTCGCTGTAAGGAACGATGAAGAACTGAGCAAACTTCTCGGAGATGTGACCATCGCTAATGGCGGTGTAATACCCAACATCCATAACCTTCTCCTCCCAAAGAAAGCTGGAACCTCCAAGGCGTCCGGTGGTGATGACGATTAGACTAGCTTCTCGAAGCTAGAACCGAATGATATCCTCTCTCTGTTCTGTCTTAAAGCCATTCCGAGATGGAACATTCTCGGAGTTTCTGATTGTTGTCCTATTATGATTTTTTAGGTGTTTTGATATCTTTTCCTGATGGGAATTAGCATGTTGACAGTGTTATAGCGTAGTTTAGGGAGTTGTAGTTTAAAATGTGAATAGAATCAGTCATTGTTCTTGTTCCACATGCCTGATAGAAGAGTTTGTTCCATTTATCTTCTTTTTCCTGTTTCAGTCGTAACATGTACTGCAATATTACAATAATTATGTTGGTTAAGGACCCATATGAACTGCGTTGTTCAATCGGTTGGTTTGGTTACAGTTGATTAAACCGATAAAACCGAACTGGTCAAAAATCATTAATAATTTTATCTTTTTACAGTTGATTAATTGAAATTTTTCGAAAATTTTAACTGAACTAAATAAAGTTGGTTAATTTGATCAATTATCTGAATTAATTTGAATTTTAAATAATATATATTAAATATTTAATAGTTAACTGAGTCCTTGTTTATTGAGAGTACGCAGGGTATGTGCTCTCTGATCCGCTTATATCTTGGGCTTTAAGCCTGTTATTCAAGATTTTGTATAACAATTTCGAAATTGGGAAATGAGCTCCCTCTTGAACAACTCCATTTATCATGGCACCAACACCAGATGAAGAAACTCTGTTGGTTCAATGGTGTGAAGACATTTGATACGATCAATATATGCTGTTCTTTTTCTGTGTTGGAATTTATTTTATATATATATAACTTTTTGGTTTTACATAGATTTAAGATCATTGGATGAGAGAAAATAGATGTCTGATTGACTATGTTTTTTTAAGTGAATATCTTCACATATTCTACTGTTAATCTGAATCATATATTTTCACTCATTATGCGGTTATAAATCTGCATAAAACTAAAAGAGTTTTACATTGTGTAATTGGATCTTGCACTATATATATATGGTAAATTATGCATTAGTATCTAAGCTATTTGTTTTGGTTTGTTTTAATATTTAAACTTTCAATTTTTTAAAAATCATATCGAACGTTTAGTTTTTATTTCATTTTAGTACCATATTATTAAAAACTTAGCGTGTTTAATATCTAAACTATCATTTTTTATCCGTTTTAGTATCCAAATTTTTTTAAAAAAAAATTAACGTTGAACTTTGAGTAAGGGTATTAAACGAAACAAAAAGTAAACTTTAAGAATGGTTTTGAAAAAAATCAAAGCTTAGATATTAAAATGGGCCAAAATTGATAATTTATGAACAATTTACTCTATAATACGTGCTAGAGATGCACAAAAGCCGGATTTCAATCCGATCCGGATCGGATAAAAACCGATCCGGTTTTCCCCCCAACCCAAAAACCGGATTTAAAAAAATCGGATCGGATCCTAACCGGTTTGGAGGGTCGGATGGTGTAACCGGTTTCGGTTTGCAAAAACCGTTTTTTTTTTTTAAAAAAAACCGGATTTTTTCGGATAAAAATCTAGTTTTTTAAAAAAACCGGATTTTTTTTCGGATAAAAAACTGGTTTTTTATCCGGTTTGAAAAAAACCGGTTTTTAATCCGGTAAAAAAACCGATCGTTCAATTTTTTTCCAAACCGGTTATACTATCCGGATTTTAAATATCCGATCCGGTTTTAAAAAAAATCGGTTTCTTCAAAATCCAGTTTCGAATATTTTTTAAGCAAAATCGAATATTCGAATTTTTTGTGCACCTCTAATACGTGCCCTCGTGAGAGCGTTTTTAAGGACTACTTGCTTGAACTTCAAGTCTACACGGTTTGATCCACATTCCACTCCTGTTTCAGACTCTCAGTACCACCATGTTTCGGCTTTAACTTTCCACCCAAGAAAAGGATAAGGCCCAAGTGTGTATGTTTCCACCATAAGATTTCTAATCTAAATTATTGTCAGAATTACATAAACAAAATAGCTTGATAATCTAACGTCATTAGAGTTTTTTTTAATAAATCACATCATTAGTCATTGATCTATTATTTATTTTCTATTCCAATCATTAAATTATAAAAATATCACGAACTTTATTTGAACTATTCATGGTACACAGTTTGTTTAACCCCCCTAACACTTTTGAATCAGATAGCTTATGTACTTAAAGCACAACTCCCATGTAATTGTAAGCTATAGCAACAAAAAGAACCCAAGACAAAGGGTCGAATGAGCTGCAATTATAAAATTATGACATATTATCTGAAATACATGATGGTCCCATCATAATTTTGAGGAAAAAAATATGGATGCAATAATTTCTATTATTTATTTTTATTATTTGAAAAATTATAACCTTATCCATATACTCAATTATATAAATTATTTTTTAAAAATGGTAGTACATTATTAAGCTAAGGGGAATCTTTTTGGACGGTTGGGAGTTATTAGATTCAATTATGTCAATGATCATTTTTCATAGATCAATTTTAATTCAATTAATAGTATTGCTGACATTTTTTATATTTAATTTATAAATTATTAAATAATAATATAAACATAAAAAATTCGACATTTTATGATTCCTTTTAGTTGTTATAGCACCATCCAAAATAATTTCAACGATGGAATTTAGCGATTGGGTTATTTTCAATGTCTTATTCGTATGCCTTGAAAATAAAATAAAGTAATTAGATTAATCATCTGCCGTGTGCTTAAAAGGGGCAACCCCCAAGATTAAAATCAAGTTTATTTGATCCTTATTAACTTAATTTATTTTGGTATAATCACTTCTATCCGAACTATTGATCGACTAATATGGATCATGTACTGCAGAGACAATAGCCAGAATTCAATCCCCTGACCTTGCTTAAGGGATGTAATGCCTCATCGCACTAGACCAATCGGTTGTTGGTCCTTATTAACTTAATTAATCGGCAAAAGAGTAACTTTTACCCCTGTAGTATACCAAATTTATCACTTTCACCCCTATCGCATTCTCACATCAATCGGTTGTTGGTGTTGATAAACGCAAAAGATGAACAGTTTTGTTCGTCAAAATGGATTTTGAGGGTTAGGATAAACACCCTAAACAACTTCATGAGTTAAATTGTTGAAAAATAAATAAAAATATTAATTTAATATGAGCAAAAAATATCAATAAGTCTATATTTTCATGAAAATTGAGTTAATGCAACGCATTTGAGATAAAAAAAAAAAAGAGACATGGTTGAAGAAGCCTCTTTCCAATAAGACACGTAAAATAGAAGTTGAAAGGGCCACTAGAATAACTCTATACACCAACTTCTTAAAGGAATATGCCAACCATCTTTCCTCCCTCGAAACTTTATTTATTTATTTTTTTTATATTTTACAATGCGGTACATCTATTTCTTTGACGTCCGAGTGAAAAACGGTGAATATAATTTTTTGGGTTTGTAATTTGGTTTGAGCCCGGGTTGTAATAATTTTTAAACAGATATTTTTTGTACTTATCTAAGATTAATAAAAAAAATATTAACTAAATATAATTATCATTTGATTGTATTATTCGTCAAGTAAAAATAGAGCTAAGCAAAACTTCTGTAAGCGTAATTAAAGTTAAAAATCCTTAAGATCAATTTGACACATATAATATGTATATTTATACTAGAGTAAAAGGTAGGATTATGTATTTTATCTTGGGTATGAACTAATAAAATAATGATAAATTACTTTTCTTCTCGGTGGAATATTTATTAATAAAATGAAGACTTAAGTTATGAGTCTCGTTAGAAGCTTCCCTAACCTTATAAAAAAAAAACAATACAACCAAGAAGACTACACTAATCCAAAAACCCTATATCTGGACAAAAATATCACTCGATGAATACATGTTAAACACAATAGGTATATGTCGAGAATGATAAGATAGCAGTTTAGCTATCTAGGAAACAAGAAATGAACTGAAATCTTTGTAATTCTTTTATTAATGAAGCTGATCTCTCATGAGTTGAGAGTAGCTATTTATACAAGCAAGAGAAAATGCAACTGTTGTGCAACAAATCATTAACAACTTAACTGCTCATAACAAGAAGCTAACAAACTGTTCTAGAACTATTCTAGAATTTACAGTACATGCTCGTATACATAACACTAACATTCACCCTGTTTTATTAACTTCTTCAGTATTTGCCTCAGTTTCTGCAGAAAACTTCTTGACTTCAGTATTCCCCTTGTCATTCCCACTTTGTAAACCTGCAGGAAGCCCTCTTAGCTGTGTTACCAAGAGTCTTTGTTTGTGCTTGAGAAAAGAGGTAGAAGACAGTGGCTTTGTCAAAAAATCCGCCACCTGCTCATAAGTTGGAACCTCAATAACCTGTAAACGACCATCAACAACCATTTATCGTACAAAAAACAAGTCAAGCTCAACATGCTTGAACTTAGAATGCTGAACAGGATTGGCACAGACCGCAACAGTGCTGGAATTATCACACCACAGGGTAGCTTTTCCATGTGGAACCATGCACAACTCTTGTAGTAATGACTCAATCCAAACAAGGTCAGCAGCGGCAGAAGCAACACTCCTATACTCAGCTTCAGCCGTGGAACGAGAAACAACTTGTTGCTTGCGTGAGCTCCAGGAAATGAGATTTCCACCAAAGAAAATACAGTAGCCAGTCATTGAACGCCTATCATCAGGATCAGACCCCCAATCTGCATCCGCAAAACCATTCAGAGACATGCGAGAAGATGCTGTAAAATGGAGACCATAATCAGCCGTTCCTTGAAGATAACGTAAAATCCTCTTAACAGCCTGAAAATGGCTATTGATAGGTGACTGCATGAACTGGCAGACTTTGTTTACTGCAAAAGCAATATCTGGCCGAGTAACTACTATGTACTGAAGAGCTCCTACAATGCTTCTGTATTGGGCTACATCTTCAACGGGATCACCGGCAGCAACTGACAACTTACAATTGGAGACCATGGGAGTAGGAAGACTCTTGACATCATCAAAACCATGCTTATGCAACAACTCACGAATATATTTTTGTTGAGTCAAAACAAGACCATTGTCATCAGAACACACCTCAATGCCAAGGAAAAAATTAAGAGAGCCAATATCTTTTAAAGAAAATCAAGCATGCAACTTTTCAATAACCCATTGCACCTCACTAGCATCACTCCCTGTCAAGATGATATCATCTACATATACAAGCATGTAGACAACACTACTAGCTGACTTTC